CATCGCTTTCTTTGCCTGGGCCATCTCCCGTGCCCACGGTCTCGGCCCGATTATCCACCAGTCTAACACCGTCCACGGAAGTGATCTTTCCTGGGCGATGGTGAAAGGAATCATGTCCTGCATCGGAAACTTTGCAGCACTCATAATGAACAACCCCGATTTCTCACGATTTGCGCGGACGCCAAATGATGCATTCTGGTCCCAGCTATTTACTATTCCCGTGGGCTTTGGCGTCACCTCATTCATTGGAATCATCGTGTCTTCTTCCTCATCGGTTATCTTCAACGACGGTTACACATGGAACCCCCTTGATCTCCTCGGAAAATTCCTCGATGGAGCCAGTTCCGGCCAGCGCTTCGGTATCTTCATCATCGCCACCGGATTTGCCCTAGCTCAGCTCGGAACAAACATTTCTGCCAACTCAATCTCAGCAGGCACTGACATGACTGCAATGCTACCCCGATACATGACCATCCGACGGGGTAGTTATATCTGTGCTGCTGTCGGTCTAGCTATGTGTCCAGTACGTCGTCCCATTTGTTTATTGCAAACCCTCATATAATCATGACCAAAACTAATAAAATATGCAGTGGAACCTTCTCTCAACCTCAAACAACTTCACAACCTACCTCTCAGCATACTCCGTCTTCCTCTCCGCGATTGCCGGCGTCATGATCTGCGACTACTACATCGTCCACAAAGGATACCTGAACATCAAATCTCTCTACAGCGCCAGAAAAACAGACTGCTACTACTACACCTGCGGTTTCTCCTGGCGCGCCTATGCCGCCTACATATGCGGGATCATGATCAACATCGTTGGCTTCGCCGGTGCCGTGGGGCGCAAGGTCCCTATCGGCGCACAATACATCTACAACTTGAACTATTTCACTGGTGTCATTGTTTCCGGTGTCGTGTACTTCGCTCTGACGTGGTTCTTCCCCGTTCCTGAGACAAGTGCTACCTGGAATGAGGTTGACATCGATGTGGAGGATTCCTTCATTTCATACGGAAAGGACCCCAATGACTTGGAGGCTCATGGGTATGCTGATAGGAGACCGGTTGATGATGTGGCTGGGTCCGACAAGCAGAAGGGTCCAAGTGCTTCGGACAAGAAGCTCTGATAGCGGGCTTTGGTCTTTGTTTATGGGCGGTGTTTGCTTTCCGTACTGGCTTTCGCTTGTGCTCTTACTACCGAGCGGGCTTGAATATGTATAATTAATTCCCTATCTGAGACATATTTACGATGAGATGACAATTGGCTACTTCCTGGGCACCTAGGCTCCCAGAGATGGGCCTGCCCCGGGATTTCTTTTTTTACAAGCCGGGCATTCTCTTCCAAGGCGTACAACTCTACCAATACTAAAACTTAGGAGCCTGGATATTTGCTTGGAGGCAAGTAATTCTCTCACTCTGCCGGCAGCCGTAGTCTATGCCCCTTTCTTGTCACATACTTTATTGCGCAGGGGTTGAGTCTGCGTGTACCTAGGTACTTAGTCCTTGTTTCTCTCATATCGAATAACACCGTTCAACTAGCTGCAGGGGACATTAATGTGTTCTTTTCCACCTAAAATCTGAGGACCTGTGGAATTGAGGCCAATTAATTGACCAAACCATCTATGTCAATCCTAATATCTAGAAGGCAGCTACTCCTCCCAGTGCATCACTCATTTGCCCCCCCCCCCCCCCCCCCCCCCCCCCCCCC